TCAGCAAAATATATCAAACAGCATTTCTGATTATGTTTCTGACATATTTTTAAAAATAATTTCATAGTAGCTAACATCAGCTAACATAGTAGCTAACATTAACATGCAAGCTTTACAAAACTGGATTATTTATAACTTTGTATAATTTATTTTTATAAAAGTATAAAGCTCTTCTTTCCTATATAAAGTATTTGCTTTCTCTTCCTGCCAGCATAATATCATGTGTCTTTTCACCTTACATTGGAAAGATGTTCTAGTTTTATTAATCAATTCCTAGTAAGAGATTTAGAAATAATTTTGTTTTAAAAACAAACATCATTTACTCGTATTTAAATTAGATTTTTACAACATATTTATACAAGGAAGATATTATTTTAAGAACTTAAATATTCATTTAAAATAATGAACACCATGTGCTTCAGAAATATCCATATTTAAAAATGTGCAAAAAGTAAGAAAATATTATATGAACACATAAAAAGTTATAGCAATAAGCACATTCATATTTTATCATCTATAAATTGGACAGTATAAGAGAAAAAAGCCATTCCATTTGGTAAAAACAAAAAAAAATATCCATCACATTGTGTCTGAATGTCCATCAAGAGCTTACACTGGCCCAATGTCTGATTTTTTCAACATAGACCACCATGTTCTTGAATGGCTGGGTGGACTGTACATTAACATTTAAACCACTATAAGTCCATTTATATATTACATTAAGTTAGTTCCATAGATGAAAGAAATCTTCATTCAACAGGTCAGCATGCACTTAGAATTCATATGATCTCATATGTTTTAAACAAGTGATAACTTTTTAGATTAATCACAGGTAAGAAGAACCCAACCAGAAACCAAATAGGAAGAATAATTATCAACAACCATCATTTACACAACATAAACCCAAATCTTAAATTTTAAGCATAAGAGCTCTAACTCTAAGCTGTCACTTAGAGCACAAAGACAGACACACACACACACACTGTTATCCTTAACAGGAAGGGGAGGGAAGTGATAATAACTGAAACACAATAATATTGGGGGGAAATTAACTATTGAAATCTTTATGGCAAATGTAAGCTATTGCTAAAATAGACACAATTTTCTTTTTCTAAACAAATTTTATTTATTTTCAAAAACAATACACAAACAAACAAAACATAAAAACATAAAACATCTTTTCTGAAAGCAGCTTGATCCCGGGTTACATCTCTTCGTACAGACACAAATTCAAATTCATGCTCATTTTATATACCATTCCATATCTTATTGCCATTTTACATTTTCTATATAGCTTCTCCCCTCTTTTAACTTTCTTAATTTTATTTTATTTATCTAATCTCAGTTCAGATCATTATGCTTATTATTCTTTGTCTGTCCTGTTTCTAGCTATCTATTATCTTTTCCCTTTAAACAAAATTTCTCCTGTACACTGATTGGAGTATGACGCCTTTATCTCTTTCCCCTAAATTTATAACACTTAGTATAGTACATAACTTCCATTTGGATTCTGCTTAGTACATTCTAAAGTTACACACTACATTTTTTTAAAAAGAAAAGATTATAAATATGTAATATAATTAAAACAATAATCCATACCAATTCAAATCTATCATTAATATTAATATTCATTTAAATCTTGAACATTTTACACATTACTTTTCAGTTAAATATCATACTTTTATGGGAACACTTATAAACTTTCCATAATTATTTCCCCCCCACTTCACTTATATTTTAAAACATTGTGTCATTAAAATGTTCCCATTCCTTCCTAATTCAATTCTCTCATTTATTTCATTGCCTTCCTTTTGTTCACAAAAATTTCACTGAATTACACTGAATATTTTATCCCACTTTTTAATCACATGTTGTTTCCAATTTTCTAACATTATTTCTAATACAAATATAACAATACAATCTTATGTACCTTTGAAGAATCCCTTTTTCAATTAAGTTTTTACCCATTATCTCTAAATAAATCCTGTTTCTTTACATCTTGCTCCACACCATTGAAACTTCTCATCCCTTCCTTCCTCCTTTGCTTCTTCTCCCTGCCCTTTTTACCCCCTTGTCTCTCCACCTCCATTTCCCTCTTCTGTATTCCCCCTTTCTGTTGTTTTCTAACATTATATCCACTTTTCACCTTATTTTTCCCTTTTTTGGTTGTTTTTTTAAATCTTAAAGTCTCCATTTTCTTTTCCTCCTTTCCCCTTTCTTCCCCAAGTAAAGTTACTTGTTCATCAAAGATGGCTTCTTCTTTGTCCCAATCATCTTGTTGCGCAGTCAGTTTCTCATAGGTACAAATCGCCATTTCTAAGAATTGAAAAAGAGAGCCAAGAGAGCCCTTCCCTTCTTGTTCCTCTTCTTTATATTTTTTGAATTCAATTTTCAGTTCATCCACAAGTGATGCCATTGTAGAAAAAAAAAACTTTTTTCCAAACAACCACCCAAATGTTTTTAGTCCTTCAAATATAATTTCCAAAAGTCCCAAAGTCACCAAACAGTCCAAATAAGCTGAGTCTTTTAACCCTTTCTTCTTTCTTCACTTTCTCTTCCTGAGGTTACTGTTTAGTTACAAAATTCCAGTTAAAATGTATCTTTTAGAAGTCTTGTTAGTATTTAATGATTCTTTTAAGTTCTAGGCAATCTCCTCCTGCCTTCCAAATCCTGCTCCTATTCTTTTCCTCTCCCTTCCCACTTACAGCAAAAAAATTTTTTTAAATGTTCAGAAATCCTTATTATCCCCTTGACATTTAATTATCCAGTTTAGTTACCTATTGATGCCAAAGCGGGTTTTTCCGATTTCTCATTCATTTCTGTTCGCTGTCAACGTTAGGAAGGAGAGTGAAAAAAAAAAAGCACTTTCCCTTTTAACTTTCATTCGCCGCTTGCAAGTCTTTGGGAACGATGTATCTTTTGCAAATATTAAATTCCAGGGTACCTTAGTTGTTACTTTTTATCCCGGTCAGCCAAAAACTTTCACTTCTTAACTTCCTCCTGCACTTTCTTTTCTGGCTGAGTGCTTCTTTGAGGCAGCCATTTCTGACCGCCGCTCTACCGCCTTCGGAAAAGGGAGTTTAGCCGGCTGGGGAGGAGAGGTGCGATTCCTCTCGACCCTGCCAAATCTTCCCTGTCTTCACCACCTTCTACGGGGTGGCTCCAGCAGCGAGCGCAGGCAGAAACCACGCACAATCGCGGATTCCTGCCTGCCCCAAAGCGCTGCAAACTAAAACTTCCAAATAGTCACCATTTTCATAGCAATTAAGATAACATAGTTGGCAGAAATAGCGAAATTGACCACTTTGATGAAAAAAGAAGACTAACTTTGTTTCTTCTTGGAAATCACTTTTGGATTATTTGCTTGAAACTGAAAAAAATGAAATTTTAACCTTTGGACTTAATGACTAGAGCTGTATCTGACTATAGTAGTACAATATACAATGGTATACTCCAATTCAAAGGCTTATTGTGTCATTTTCTTGAATCTGTACCAAAGAGGGAATTTTGGTTATTTTCTATAACCTTTTCCCCTTTTCTTTTTGCACACCAAATTTTGATTTTCCCCCTCTTTCCATTTTCCCCTTTTAACTTTCTTTTTTCTTTGCATTTTAACTTTTTTAAAAAATTCAATAGTTGCTTTTTTCATAGCTCTTATTTAAATGTGCAATCTTATTTCGTTCTACAAATATATAGAGAAAACATTTTCAGATATTTTGCGCTGAATGTCTTACACTAGAAAAGATAATAGTGTTTCATAACAAATCAAAAGCCAAAAAAAACCCAACACCATATAACTAAAAAAAATTGCTAGAACTTCAGGAAGTTGTGATCATGCCACCTGTAACTTTTATGCTGAGAGCATTAGATTTGGAAGAAGTAATTATTTTAAAATAAATTATTACCGTATTTTTCAGAGTATAAGACACATTTTTCCACCCCCAAAAGTGGGTGGAAATGTCTGTGCATCTTATACAGTGAACATTGCCAAAGCCCCGCCCACTCACCCGCCCACTCACCGGCCCCCACCCTTCGGCCTCTTCCTCCCAGCAATTTGCCTCCTTGCAGCAAACAGCAAACAGCCTGGTCAGCTTCAGCACAGCCTGATTAGCACAAGCAGCTGGTTGTGGGTTGGATTGGCCTCTCCACGATCAACTGTTACAGGCTGCAGGGATTGCCATCGCCTATTGCCACCTTGGTGCACCCCATTTTCGGCCTCTGCATCCTATTTTTGGCCTTCGTGTGCCCTGTTTTCCGCTTCCATGTGCCCTGTTTTCCGTTTGTTCTGATCCCCACCGCCTGGAACACATGGGGCACATGGAAGCTGAAAACGGGGCATTTGGAAGCCAAAAACAGGATGCAGAGGCCGAAAATGGGGTGTGCAAAGGTGGCAATAGGCGATGGCAGAGGCAGATTTTTTTTTCTTGTTTTCCTCCCCAAAAGCTAGGTGCATCTTAAACTTCGGAGTGTCTTATAGTCTGAAAAATATGGTAAATACATTATTTTATTAATTTTACAGTAGAGATATATAAATTCTATATTTTTTCTGTTTTACAAAGATAACTAGTCTTATTTGCTCACAAAATACTTGTTAATGGTATGCTCTTTTTAAAAATGGGGATTGAAAATGTTAAAAACTAATAATAGAATTGTAACTTTTTAAAAAAGATATTTCAACATACAAAGGCAAAGAATAATTTGCATGCATTATTTACTGTTCAACTTATATATAATTTCTCAAGATAATTTGGCATGGAATCCAAATATAAGGAAAATTGTTCCACTAGAAATAATATGTAGACTGTGATAAAAAATTTTTATTTATACTCTTTGCAAATATTTAAACACTGGAGTGAAAAAAGACAAATCAGACCTATTTAAAACAGGTTTGCTAAAAAAATTTAATTCAAAAGATTTTAATGTTTTTATATTTATAGACATGTTATTGTAGCTATTTGTGCTAATACATAGAAAAATCAGTGTCTAAATATTTTACATACCTTTTGTTTGATGATCATGTCATTGATTTCAGCAAGATCACCGACAGTAACTATATGGGATTGTATCACTCGATCCAACAGAGAAAGCCAGTCACTGAGATCTGCCCATGCCTTATTAAAATCAGCCAGGGCTGGTACCTCTAGAAGCAAAGATGATGGCATTTCTTGTTTGGAGATGGTAGTTTCCTTGGATACTAGAGTTTCTGTAACCACAGTAACACTTTGGTTAAGAAGTTACTGACAACAGGAAAGTGTGTTAATACATTTTTTGTAATAGAAATAATTTTTGTGTTATTATTTATTTCAGCTGCCCTCATTAGCAGTGTAGTCAGCTTTTTTGTTTTGTTTTAATAATTAATATGTATTATGTGATTTGGGCATAGTGATAGCCCTTGAAAATAGCTCTTTACTGGAGAGAAAGGAAGCAAAACTTAATTTACAATTAAGTTATTCTATTTCTCCATAGTCTTTTGACCTCTTTATACCTGGATTTTTTTTTATTGCTGTATCACCATGGAAAACTTTAGCTAGGTTCTGATTTCCAACTGACAAATAGTCAATATATTCTCTAGCACTATTTCCATATTGATGCGGTAGAAAAAGATGAACAGATTCAAGAGGGGCTGGGAACAAACTCAGAGTCCAACTACTTTCCCTAAGAGTAGCTATTTAGATTTAGGCTTTTTTCAAGTATAAATATTAAATACAACCTTCAAATTGATCAAAGACTTATCTAGCCTCATTTCACTATATAAAAAGATTTTATTTCACAAACTGCAGGCCCAACAGATGTATTTATTTATTTATCATATTTATACAGTATATTATTCTAAACAGGGGTTTAGGGTTTCCTAAAAATAATAATGACAACAACAGTACCACATAAAAAGTAACCATTCTCTAAGTTTGAAATTATATCACATGGCCCTTTTATGAAAATCTGAAACTAATATTATAGACCATTTTGAAATTGTCTAACAGTAGTAGAGACTTCAAATATTACTTTATATGCTATACATAAAGCTGACACCAGCCAGAGCATACAACTCAAAGATGTAGTGCAAGATTGGAAGAGGTAGAGAGATCTGGCCCATAGAATCGCCAAGATTTGGACAGAACTGAATGGATATTATCATCATGTAGGTATGTGATGCGCAAAGAACACCCAAATTATACATGTATTAAATATAAACTATGTGAACGGCTAGAGGAAAAAGTAAAGAATCTAGAGGCAACTCTAGCCAAACTCCAACCTATGCAAGAAAGCTATACGCAAATTGAACCAAATAATTAATAAATAACTCCCAGAGAATTTGATCCTACTGATAAACCCTTGGAGGAAGACAAATGGAGGTATGCCACACAAAGAAGGAAACATAATTATCAAGAAAAAAGCAGCATATATCTAACAAACCCCTGCTGCCCAATCTAACTCAACCAGAAGCAGCCCCACTAAAACTGAGCAATCAATTTCTACCCCAGATGAAAATATTCAGGCCCACAACCTCCCCCTCAAAGAAAACATGCAGACATCTAGAAAAGTGATATAATCAAATATACTGTTGTGAATCAATAAAAAGTTACTAGCATAAATGCAAATCAGGGTTTGGAAACCTGCACACCTGATTGGCCCTTATACAACAACTAGGGATTGGTCCATAAGTAGTCCCTGATTGGCCACTATTTTGACACTTCTCATTGGTTATAAGTTTG